GAGCTATGACACTGTTAGGGCCAGACCAAGAGGGTTAAGTCCTTTCCTAACCTTTCTTCCTAACCATTGCATGAACTGGAGCTTTGTCCAATAATCTCATAAAATGTATTGGAAAGAGAAAGGAACTGATTTGTTCTATTCCTGCTGCCACCTGATGCAGGAAAGAAGGTAAAGCAACAAGCAGGAGTGGAAAAAGGGAGAAGTTAGCAGGCAGCAAAGCTTCTAGAGTGGGTTTGTGGGATGGCAAAGGGCATCTTTCTCAAGGGTCCTCAAACCTTGAAGTCCCACTTTATGGGGATAAACTGGGGCTGCTTCTACTGTGCAACGATTTGGTAGAATGCCCACATTTCCAGAGTAACTTCTTAAATATGGGCATATCTCAGACCATGAAGACATAGCTTGGTTTGAGATATCACAAGGAAAACCTCCCTCTCACTCTTCACTGCAGCTGTACTTTTCCCAAGGACTGGAATCAAGTTCTCTGTTCATGTCTACCTTTCCAACTTAATTAACCGTAACGTGAAAAACTATGTGCAAGCTAAAATCAAATGTAAGCAAGAACAGGTCTGACATTTTCTTTTTTGAATGCAAATATTTGGCATCAGTAGCTGTTGTACATTTTAAACAAACGGCCTTAGTTAATAACCTCTAATTTTAACCATGTGTTTTTTTTTTAAAGTGCAAGTTCAGTTCACCCTGTTCCTTGACTTACTTTCTGGCCATTGGTAAATGGCAACATGGTCCCTAAAGACTCATATACTTCTCATTTCTCACCTCACCTCCACTCAGTTTCTTAATTCCACTTAACTTCAGCCTTGATTTTCACAATCTTTTTCCTGTGTTAGAATCACTGCACATCTCTGGTGCAAATTTCACTCTGTCTGGTTTTGCTCATGATGAACAGATTTTGATATTAAGTTATGAAAATGTTGAAAACACTGGAGTATTTTGAATTTCATTGTGTGGAAGGGATATAACGTCAAGGAGTGCCGTAATGTTTTATAGGCTTGACCGAAATGCTACTGCATGATACAAGATCTTTGTTATCACCCATCAACTGTGTCTTATGGGCAATTTTCTGAGCTTGTAATTCAATAAAATACAATCCACAAACAGCAGCCCTGCCATTATATGGTCTGATAGGTGTGTTAGCTAAATAGGAAACATAGGTGGGTCTCTGCTTCCACAGAAAGTAGAATTTAACTGCTATCATTCTCTCTACATCTTCTACAAAAATTGCAATCCACAGTTAAATGTACTTTCATGGAAATAGGAACAAGGCGTATTCGGATCTGGGGATTAGGTTCCACCACTAGCTAAGTAATGCATGAAGTTGTACTCAATAAATACGTTTCTAGTAAAATATCTCTTAAAATAGCTCAAACAAAATGCAACATATCTTCAGGAAATGTGATTATGAGTATGTTTAAAGATGGTGCAGTGAAACAATAAAAGATCCACTTTGAAAAGACAGTGTGAGTTTTTTCAAACATGTATTTTATTCCTTCTCCCAAGAGTGTTTAAAGGTACTGACAGTGATTGTTTTGCAAAGAAATGCAATTTGTTTCCACCTTTCATTTCTATGACAACTTAGCACCATAACAACCAGCACAGTTGGAGGGCTGATGTGTGCAGACTTATTTAAAAGTAGAAATTGCAAGCAAGCAAAGTTAATTCTATCTTAGCCATTTGCCATCATACAGAAGTGCAGATTGTGATAATGAGCTTCAAAAATAGGATGTTTCACTGCATATTTAAAAAAAATGTCCTTGGAAGTGTAGTGGGCATATTAGCTAGGAGCTATTTTATTTTTTTCAGCACCTTGTATACAGGTACACTGTGATGTGTTAGTGACATTCATTGTTAATTTTAGAGCCCACATAATTTTAGGGAAATTCTTATTTATGTATTTTTTACTCGGATAACAAATGTTATCTGGGTAACTATAAACAGCTAAAGGTTTAAAATGCCTTGCAGTTGCAAATGTAGTACAACTATTTGAAACATTAAAGTATAATGCAAAACATCCAAGGATTGGATAAGAAGACATATAAATCTGCTACTGGATTTATATGCCTTGTCTAGCTACTGAAAAGCCGCTTGTGGGCCATGTGCTTTCTCCTTTACCAGAGGTGCCATGCCTGCATATACCAGTTGCTGAGGACCTGGGCAGAAGGAGGTCCTGCACCCATCCTGCCGCTGGAGCCCTGTGGGCAACACCATTTATACAGAACGCTGGACTTGATGGACGTTTGCTCTGATCCAGCATGGCTGTTCTTATGTTCTAGAACTAGGTTCCTGAAATTCCAAAGAGAAAAGATCTGGCACCAAAAGGACAACAATGTAGATGTTTCTTTGGGGAGGCATTCTGTAAGCTGGGTGCCACAACTGAGAAGACCTTGTCTCTTGCAGTCACCCACCTAGCTTCCTTTGATGGGACACTTGGAGGTGTGTTTCTGGCTATGACTTCAGGGTATGATAGGGTACATATAGGGATATGAGTTCCTTTATGTACTCTTGCATTTAGGAGTTTAAAAATCAACATCAACACTTTGAACTGGTGTTAAACACTTGGTGGTCATAATTGTGGAGGCCATGATGAGATTCTGAAGATCATGTCAGGCCATTTAAGTTAAACAGAAAGGAGTAGCATTCCAAACACAGACGCAGTTGCAAAATTGATCATAAAACGGTCAGAACAAAAATTGCAAATGTTGCTGGAAAATGGAAGCATTTATATCCAAAATAATACAGCAGAATATGTAAAAATCCATAATGAAACAGAGCTAAGCAATGCACGATAACCAGACATTGAGGTAATGCAAGTTTAAAATATCATATTCACAATCTATGAGTATAGAAAGACAGAGAAAATTACATATTGTAAATGAACTAAACATACAGTCTAGTACACATGCCCGTAAATGAATGCTGGTTTCTTTGCAGTCTTCTCCCTAAAAGTTCTAAAAGTTAGAAATGCCCTTCATAAGGCTTAGTTACTGGAAGTTTGAACTGCAAAGTAAAATATGCTGTTATTCTTGATCATGCCCCCTTTTCCTTTAGCCCTGCCCACAGCTGGAGAAAGATCCCTGAGAAGTCCAACCGGAAGAAGTCCAACACACCTGGATTTTTGCAAGAAGTTTGCACAGTCTTGTAACTCTCTTTCTACTTGGCATCACTGCTAAATTGTGCAGCCAGATGTATCTGGAACCATTACTTATTCTCCAAAGTGTTACTTTAATTGTAATGAAAACTTGGGAAACATTACAATTGGAATAGTTTTAAAATAGCTGTTGAGACTGCTTATTATAACAGTGAACAAATGAAACTTAAAACAAGGTCTCAAAATACCTTTTCAGATAATTTCTTCAGAATGGATTTTTTAAAAATGGTATTTTCTTCACCAGTCAAAAAGTCTTTATTCAGTGAAAAATTATGAAATAATTTTAATTCATTGTGATGAATTCACACTCCAGTGAATGTGTCAAATGTGGAAAAGAACAGCATTCTAAATCCTTCAGGATTCTTCTGCTGTTCTATCTGTAGAATCTTTCTGCTCAAATGTTATGTTCCATTTGAAACAAGAAAGTATCTTGTTTTCTTAGCCTCTATTTCTTATGGAAGTACTTGACATTATGCCCTAATGTAACGGGGAACCCAGATGCTTGGTTAATGAAGACATTAATCCCAACAGTTACAGAGTAAAACTTTTTCTGTCATGAAGCAGAATCCTGGAATTATGTAATGTCTAACTCAATGTCTACCCAGTTCTCTGGGTAATAAGTTTATGCCTGAAAGCAATAATATTGAACACTCTTATATTGAACAAAGTATATTGATGGAAGTGCTGTTCACGCAGGACGACTTCAATCACTTGAGCGGGCTTGCTTCTTGGGTGATATTCATCCTCCTTAACATGCCATTAATGCCCTCTCACTATCATATTTCCTATTCTGTGAACCAGAGAAAACAAAGTCACATGCATTCTCTGTGCCTATGTTAAAAACATGCTCCTGTGATGAATCTCCTGTGCTCTCCTCTTCCGTATAGCTCCTCCCTCCTGCTCTGGACAGATCCAAGCATTCCAGAATAGATTTGGAGGCACATATGAGAAGCTGTTGGGGATACATTCCACTAGCACTTTTATCTCCCTTTGACAAAATGACACTGTTGGATACAGCTTGGTTGTAAGTTGGTCACACTTTTGTCTCACTGAAATTTGTAAGCCATGGAGCGGAATTTTTTAGCCAAGTCTAATGTAACTATTAATTTTGGTGGAACTAAAGTTCAGCTAACTTAGTTTGTATTCAACCCACAATATTTTTATTTTTATAGCTACTTTTCTGATATTTCTAATCTTCCTTTTAGACTCAAACTCACAAGGAAGAATCTACCACATAAAACATGAAAGACAGGCAGCCATTAAAAAATCCATGAGAGGAGCAATAAACATCCATAACAATAAATAACAATAAAAACAACCATACCAGAGGAAGTAACAATGGGGAGGTATTATATTTTTTTCTCCTTCCCTGGATATTCCTCCCATTTTACAAAAGGGCATTGTAATTACATTTTTGATAAGGCTGTATGCTCAGGAATTTGCTTTACCACTTCAATTCCAGCATCTTCCCACTGCTTATTGTGTCCATAATTCCATTTTGAAGTTGCCTTTCCTCTTCAGATGCATTTTATATTTATTTAGCTGCTGAAATCTATTCAGGTCAGGTCTCTTGCTTCATTATGCTACACAAATATTTCTCTCAGTCATGTTATCAATGACCTTTTCTTCGCTGCATGTCTTCAGGATGTTTGAGTTTGCTGATAAGCCATGTTTCCACTGAAGTGTCCTTTACACAAGCCTTTTGACCCTTGTGTTTTTGAATATCTTTGTTTATGCTGACAGCCTTTCTTGTCAGCACAGATTACTAGTTCCTAAGTTCAGTGGTTCTCCCATATATTTGATATGAGCACAGAATTTGTGTTTTCTCCTAACTAATGTTAGTTAGGCACCAGGCTGCTTCCACATAGTCTCTTTTATAGTTACCTGATGGAAGCAACAAGCAGGCATGACTCAACTCAAAGGAGGATTCCTCCAGCAATACATCAGAAAGCGATATAGGACTATGACAACTTGGGACATATCCTGGGCAGTCTATCCTCCCATTTTGGATTTGGGTCTGATAGACCAAGGGAAAGTTGAGGGTGCCTAGAAGAGAAGCTGTAGGCAAGCAGAGTGTGGGATGCTGCACACCATCATCACTGGCTACCCAACATGAGATAACCTGAACTTTGTTTTTTTAAACTGGCAGGCTTTCTTTTTCTTTTCCGTTTTTGGATAATTGACTAAAGAGCTATAAAGCTTGGCCTTGAGGCTGGGGATCAACAGCACCTACAGAGCAGACTACGCAAAGCACACAGCTGGTCACAGATTTCCTCATTAGGGTAAGCTGTAAAATCTTTCTATGAGAATTATATGAATGATTTCTAAATGGACATTTATACATATAAAGTAGCATGTTAAAAACTGATGCCACTCACTGCCTTCTTTTTTGATGACCAATTTCCTCTCTTTTGGCAATTTATAAATGGTCACCCAATAAAGGTGGGGAAACTTTTTATGTTGTATTAATTCACTTTCTTTCAAAAGAATTTTGCCTCACTCTCCAAAAGAACAGTAGGAGCAAATCAGCCTCTCTAACTCTGGGCAAAATTGAAGAGAAATCGTGCTAGTGCTGATAATAAAAGGGATTTCAGAGACCTGAGCCCCTCTGGGAAGAATAAAAAGAATATAAACAGCAGTTAAAACAACCTGAAAGGCTCTGCTTGCATTCAAGTGTGCCCAAGCTGTGTCCCCTTCAGATCTTTCTCAGCATAGGATGAGTGATGACTGAACAAGAAGGGACAGAGATTTGGGAGACAGGAGTAAGCATATGTGACTATCTCCCCATCCAACCTTTAGCCTAGTGTGCCCAGAGCTAATGCTTGCACAGGGGTAGCGTCTTTTGACAAACTAATCTTCCAGAATAAACATTTTTTACACTACTGGAATATGAAAGATTTTTATATGGTGAGGTGTTTGGATCACAGTTCAGCAATGCTTTCATCTCTTAGAATGATGGAATATTGGAGTTGGAAGGGGTCAGAGGGCCATCAGGTCCAACCCCTGCTCAGTGCAGGACTCCAAGTTAAACCTTCCCTCTCAGATGGCAGTCCAGCTGTATCTTGAATGCCTCTAATGTGGTAGAGTCCACAATCTCCCTAGGCAATTAGTTTCATTGTCATATTGCTGTAATATTCAGGATGTCCAGCCTGATGCCCATGTGGCCTCATGTAACTGCAGCTCATTAGTCCATGTCGTCATTGTCTTTTGCTGCTGCTACAGGTTTCAAACAGCAAAATGTGACTAGAACAGCTAGTCTCATACAGGTGCTTTATAGGACATATACAAAATTACATTTAAAATTTCCCTAAATTAGACCATGATATTAAGGTCTGTGTATAATCCAAAGCAAGTAGGCTGAATTGTGTCATATAATATATTTCCTTTTGCTTTGAAATGTTGTGAACTCCTACCAAACTCTACCTTCTTTTTTGCTCCACTCGTGGTTTATGCTTCATTGTTTATTCCATTCTTTTGTACTCTTTAATAAATTATTCCCAGCTCTATCAGAGTGAGAACTAATCCAGATGTTTTGATGACTTGAATTTGAAAGACTGACAGCTGCAATTACTCTTTCAATGTCAAATGAATCTTTCTGAAGGTATTGAAGGATACAGAACTGGGCTGTAGAATATTCTTCCTAGTTTCTGAATGAATTGATTCAGTCTCAGCTGCAGTACTATTTCTTGATGTGCTTATAGCGGATTTCTCAACATGGTGCCTTCCTGATGTTTCTGTCTACAATTCCTGTAAGTCCCAGCCAGCATGGTCAATTTGTAAGAAATTGTACTTCAAAACACTTAGATGCCTAGAAATCAACACTTCCAGTTTAATGCTTGAAACTCTTTAAATGACTTATTTGTTTATGTATCACATAATGATGCTTATGCCTTCAGTGATAGAAACGGAACTGAAATGGTTGTTTATTGATAAAGAATGCTGCTGTTAGTAGTTGAACCATTGCATAGAGGATATTGTTAAATATAGATTTGTGATGATAAAATGTCTAAGGCATCAGTTCAGAATTGACTCTGCACAGTACTTTATAATGTAATATGCACTAATTCCCAAAGAGGCTCTGAAACTGATTGATTGACATAACATGTTTAAACGGTTGTAACATATTGCTATACTCAAGATAAACCAATTCAAAATTTGAATGTAAAATCTATCTGAAACCAACAGTGTAATGATGCAAAATACCTTTTCATTTATTTGGGTATGGCATTGCTTTAAAGCTTGCTTTTCAGCCATTTTTACTCCACTATTTCCAGTAGCTTTGTTTGAGGCAGACAAATAGCAGAATTTCATTGCAAATACTTTAAAATTAATTAATTGTTGTGTAATTGTTTGATTTCCTGGTGGAAGAGTTATTGCATCATCATCATCATCGCCATTCAGTTGGTAACTATATGCTTTTTATATATTGGATTCTTAAAAATGTTCTTGAATTGATAATGGATGAAGGACGATTTACAAATTTTAAGGATAGGGTTGACTTTGAGTGGATGGGTGGGAGAGAAAGCAGTCAGAGTCCAGATTCCCAAGTAGAAATTAATTTTCTAGTCTCAAATCAGGCAATCTGAAGTATCCTGGGTCCCCTCCTGATGAAGTTTAGGGGCCAAACGTTCACTTCCTTTGAGCACAATCCCATAACCTCTATCCTCAATGCAGTTAAATCCCTGAACATGGAGGTTTATGTACATCCAATGCATGGAGTCAAGTACATGCCACATTTCAACCTTGCGTCCTGCATTTATTTAAATGGTTGGTGCACCATTGAGATAGGGTACCAGCCTCCTCTCCTCTCTGCCCTCTAGTATACTCCTTCTCCTTTTTTCCAGGGCCATTTGTGGCCACAAAGAGGTGGCCAGTATGATTCTTTCCTTCTGGACTGTGAGAGCAGCGAAGAAGGGCTTGGCCTTTGGAGTCTCACATCAGAATTTCAGGACCTTGTAACTATCCAAAAATCCTATGGCCAGAAGTCATCAGACTGTACCATTAATGAACAGAACAGAACAGAACAGAACAGAACAGAGGTCATTCTTATTGGAATAATTGAGGTTTGCCCATATTGATAAGCTAATCTCTCCTGACAGCAAATCAGAAGCAGATTTTGAATTAGTCAGACCAATTAGTCTTTCCATGGGAAATTGTCCATGAGCAGTTAACAATTTTACCCAATTGATGTACTGCATTTTCTGTACTTTACTGTGGCAGTTTGGTTTCCTGCAAGGGAGATAAAACACTTGGCAGATAAAACACTTCTAATTCTCCCATCTTTAACAAATCTCCCTAAATATTGCTCTATTTAGAAATATGGAAAAGAGTGTGAGTGGAGACAATGAGGCATTCCCTCAAGGTAAAAGATAATATAATGATGTGGGCAACCCTTCAAACTGCACCCTCTTGTTTCCAGTAGATCCATCTAGAAACTCACTTATTGCGGATTCAGTATCATGGATGTTTCCAGAATGCCTGCCCTGAGTTTCCAGTGGAAGTGGGGGCAGGGGGTCCTCCCCTGTTCTCAGTGCATCCCCTGTGAGGACAGGGCTGTGGAACCACAGCGACTGGTTTTGCCCTGGTCATGACTATTGCTGCATGCCAACATCCAGCAGACTTCCCAGTTATGATTATCCATTTGAGGTACACTGTAAAAAGTTCGCTGGGCTCACAGATGTAGATGTGGAGAATTTCGAGGCACATGAAGAGGCCCTGGCCAAGCAGGGTTATCCCTGGTGTGTAGGAGCTCTCTAAGCATACTTCCTTATTTTCTTTTCGACACCAGGCAAAGACATACCTTTTTCAATGTTTTTGAATGCTTCGCCCCTGAATGATATGAGCCTTTTTATACTGTTTTTATGGATGTTTCAATTTGTTAGTTTTTAGATGTGTTTATTATGTTTTAATATGCTTAATGTATTGTAAGCTGCCCAGGAAGGCCTCAGAAGTTATAGGTGGCTTATCAATATGTGTATAAACAAACAAACACATAAATAAATAAATAAATAAATAAATATGTACATGCAGAGGATTCCATCTGACATACATGAATCAGCCATTCATCTGGGGAGCATCAGAGCAGCACATGCTGGCCACAGTTGGCCTTTGATCCTCTTCACATGTTGTTCAATGTCTGCATAGTTTGCATCCATCCACCCTCTCCATATCATCAGATAAAATATTATATTTGTGGAGGGCAGGTTTATTTCTTCAAGAAACCCCAATGAAAATGATTTCCACTTGGCTAGGAGGCTTAGAAAACAAAAAATCCCTATGGTGCCAATAAGAATGTTTTTCCAAACCTGCTACTATCAGTTTGTGTGGATGTGAACTGTGGTAAAGAGATAAGCTTCCTCACCCACATGCTGTATTCCCAGTAGGAATGGCCCCTCTGCCATATACGAGGGTATAGTCAATATGCATATTTAGACTGCAGTTCTACAAATCTGTACATTCCAGAGCCAATGATGCTGTAGAACGTTTGTATCTTAACATGCATAAGGATCCTAAGCATGCATAGATCTGCATCTTAATTAAAGAAAAAATAACGGCATATGCTATATGGTCACCATAACATGTACCCTGGCCAGGTTATATTTAAGAAATGCTGTTGTAGCAATTAGCAGTTTTATGATTTACAGTGCAATCCTACATCTATTTACCTGGAAGTATAACCAAGGCTATATGTTAAATACACATAATGTTTTGTAAAATTGGTTTCCTTTTCAACTTCATTGAATGTTGTTTTTTTCAGAAAGGAAAAAAAAGAAAAAGAATTCATTCCTTTTTGCCTGCTGATTTTTATTTTGCATCCTTCCAGATTTGCAGGTCCAAAGCCATCTTCATTCTTTCCACCACTGTATTTACTGTTTGGCCTTTTTATGTATCATCATTCCTAATAAAAAGCAATCTTTGTGCGGACAGCATGAACAGTAGTGGTATTAAAGATAAGGATAACAGCTGCAAATTCTTGGGAAAAAATAGGCTTCTGCAGCTTCCTGATGCCATGTCAATAAAAGACTTAGAAGCACCACATTTAGTGTATTGAAAGCAAAATAAAATGGGTGAAACAAATTGGAGGAAAGTAAAAGAATACAGGTTGATTACTGAGTTTATGTATGGCTCCGTTTCAGTACTATATGTAAGTACACTCTGTTTCCCTAACATTGTATTATGCCTGATATTGACAGAAACACACTAAAAAGACGGTGGCTCTTATTTAGACTATTATGCAGGTAAATTATGTAGTTGTTATGCTTTATCATTTTGGCTTTTCATA